GGCAGCACAGCGGGGTTTGGGGCAGGATTTGGGGAGCACAGCGGGGTTGGGGCAGGATTTGGGGAGCACAGCGGGGTTGGGGCAGGATTTGGAGAGCAGAGTGGGATTTGAGGCAGGATTTGGGGAACACAGCAGGATTTGGGGCAGGGGGTGGCCGTGGCTCTCCGGGGAAGGAGGCTCCTTGCCAGCAGGAGGCCGGAGCTCTCGCGGTTAATCGCTTGTGTTATTGATAACGAGCTGCTGGGGCTGGCGGAAGGAATTTCGGGGCGTTTGATTCCGTGCCAGCACTCGGCTCCGGCCATTGTTGTGGCGCTGGATCCTCGCGGCCGCTTGGCCGTGTTTGACTTGGAGCTGGAGCTGTTTTCACAGCTGCCTTGGCCAGGAGCAGCCGGAGTTAACCCCTGGGAGCCGGGACACGGCTGCTCCTGCTGGGAACATCCCTGGGAGCCGGGACACGGCTGTCCTGGTGGGAACATCCCTGGAATGGGACACGGCTGCTCCTGCCAGGAGATCCCTGGACTGGGACACGGCTGCTCCTGCTGGGAACATCCCTGGACTGGGACAGGGCCATCCCACCAGGAGATCCCTGGAGAGGGACAGGGCCATCCCACCAGGAGATCCCTGGATTTGGGACACAGCCATCCCACCAGGAGATCCCTGGATTTGGGACACAGCCATCCCACCAGGAGATCCCTGGACTGGGACAGGGCCATCCCACCAGGAGATCCCTGGATTGGGACAGGGCCATCCCACCAGGAGATCCCTGGAAGCTCCCACAGAGCCAATTCCAGGGAAGAGCACCAGGTGTAACCCAATCACCGGGAGTGCTGCTGGAGACGAGGATGGCCGGGAATGTTCCATGGGCTTTGCAGCTCTGTGGGGAGCCCCTGGAGCAGGAGCCGGAGCTCTGGGGGGCTCCAGGCAGGGCAGGGCAGGATTTTCCCGGTGTCTCCTGGGCTCAGGGGCCTTTGGGATTGGATTGGAGGCTGTTGCTGGTTGGGGATGTGAGGCTGGCGAAGGGAATGCCGCCCGGGGGGAGGGAGCAGAGCAGGGCCCTGGTGGGGACACCCTGTGCGGGGCAGGCGGATTTGGGAGAAACCAAATCCCCACCACAGCCCTGGGAACGGAGGGGGATGGAGAGGGTCTCCAAACTCTGGATTTCCTGGGATCCAGCCCCTCCAGGGAGCAGCAGCTGCTCCGGGATGGCTCTGGCTGTGTTTCCTCCAAGCCCAGGCTGGTGTGGCAGGGCCAGGGCTGCTCCAGGACGCTGATCCCGTGGTGGGAAGAGGGAAAACAGGGATGTGTCCCTGGGATGGAGAGCCTGGGGGGCTCTGCTGGGAGCTGCTGCTGCTTCCATGGACAGGGAGAGAGGGACAGGAGGGGATTTTGGGAAGGGACAGGGAGAAGATGCACAGGAGATTTTGGGAAGGAATTTTGGGAAGGGACAGGGAGAGAGAATGAAGAGGGGGTTTTGGGAAGGGACAGGGAGGGGGGAGGCACAGGAGGGGATTTTGGGAAGGGAGAGGGGACAGGAGGGGATTTTGGGAAGGGACAGAGGGAGGGGATTTTGGGAAGGGACAGGGGACGCTGTACTGCTGCCGGGAAGCCTCGTGGGAGGTTGCCGGGTGCTGACTGTTGCTTTTCCTTCTTCCCTTTTTTCAGACAGAAATTGCTAAAAGACTGAACACGATTTTAGCCCAGATCATGCCTTTTCTGTCACAAGAGGTAAGGATTTCTCCACGCCCTGCTCGAGGGGTGCAGCTTCTCCCAGGGGTTTCCATTCCCCCACGGGCACTGCTGGGTCCCTGGGGGGGAGAAATGGGATTTTAATCCTGCCTGGAAAACCCTTGGGATGGGCAGAGCAGGGGCTCTGCTCAGCACTGAGCCCCCCAAAAAAGGCTGTGAGCGGCTTCCCCTTCTCCCCGAGGAGCTGGGAGCTGCCCCCAGGCTGCTGCACCCAAAAAAGGGTGAAAAAATGGGGGAAAACCGGGCAAAATAGGGCCCAAAAGTGGGGGGACCTGCCTGGGGGGCTCCTGGGCTGCGGCTGACGCGGCCCCCGTGTCCCCACAGCACCAACAGCAGGTGGCCCAGGCTGTTGAGCGTGCCAAGCAAGTGACAATGACGGAGTTGAATGCTATCATCGGGGTACGTGGACTTCCCAATCTGCCTCTCACCGTGTGTATTCCCCTTTTATTCCTATCATTTACCATGTCCAGAGGCAGCCCTGCGCTCAGGAGGGCAGGCAGGGCGGCTCCCCGTGCTCGGCCATCCCAAAAACACCAAAATTCCCCAATCCCACAGCTCCTGGCTGTCCTAAAAATCCCAAAACTCCCCAATCCCACAGCTCCTGGCTGTCCTAAAACTGCCCCAATCCCACAGCTCCTGGCTGTTCCCAAAAACACCCCAAAACTGCCCCAATCCCACAGCTCCTGGCTGTCCCCAAAACACCAAAACTGCCCCAATTCCACAGCTCCTGGCTGTTCCCAAAAACACCCCAAAACTGCCCAAATCCCTCAGGTTCTGGCTGTTCCCAAAACACCAAAACTGCCCCAATCCCACACTCCTGGCTGTCCCCAGACCCCAAATCCGCCCCGATCCGGCTCTCCAGGGTTGCAATTGGCTGTTCCCAGCGGGGCTGGGGATGTTTGGGATGGAGCCTCCCGCAGCCCCTGAGGCCAGGCCTGTCTCTGCCGGGTGTGGAATGTGCTGTGCCCTCGGCGGCGTTGTTGTCCCGTGCATTGACCCTTTCCCGCGGTTCTGATTGAAAATTAACCATTTTAATCATTTCCTTAATTGCTGTCGCTGTCTTGGTCCTGCAGCAAAGCCCGGCACGTGGGAATTCCCGATCCACCTCCCGGGCAGGTGGCTCCAGAGCTCCTCTGGCTTCCTTCCCCAGAAAACACTCACTGATAATTAATTTTATTTTTTAATAATCATTTACGCTTCCTCAGCTTCACGGACCTTGGGAGCTCTCTGCGTTTATCTCGCTCTTCCGTCCGTTCTCCCGCGCTTTGCGGGTCTCACCGCCGCGGGATCGCGCTCCTGCCGGTTTGGGGAGTGGGGAATCAGCCGGATCCCTGGTGGTGGGGCTGGTGGGAGCGCCAGGAGCGGGAGCTGGCACTGGGGGGACGCTGCTGACGGATTCGGGGTGGAGCGGGAGCTGCTGGAAGCGGCAGATGTTGGAATTCAGTTAGCACAGCATCCCATGGATTGAGGGAATGGGGATCCCAGGGTTTGAGAGAATGGGGATCCCATGGATTGATGGGAATGGGGATCCCATGGTTTGATGGGATTGGGGTCCCATGGATTGAGAGGATATTGATCCCATGGTTTGAAGGAATGCTGATCCCATGGTTTGATGGGATATTGAACCCATGAGGGGATTGGGATCCTATGGCTTGAGAGGATGGGGATCCCATGGTTTGATGGGAATGGGATCCCATGGCTTGAGAGGATGGGAATCAATCCCATGGATTGAGAGAATGGGAATCCCATGGTTTGGGATTGGGATCCCATGGTTTGATGGGATATTGATCCCATGGATTGAGGGGATATTGATCCAATGGTTTGAGGGGATGGGGATCCCATGGTTTGAGGGAGGATTGGAATCCCATGTTTTGAGGGAATGCTGATCCCATGGTTTGATGGGATTGGGATCCCATGGCGTTTTGAGGGAATGCTGATCCCATGGTTTGATGGGATTGGGATCCCATGGCTTAAGGAGATTGGGATCCCATGGTTTGATGGGATATTGATCCCATGGTTTGAGGGAATGCTGATCCCATGGTTTGATGGGATTGGGATCCCATGGCCTTAAGGAGATTGGGATCCCATGGTTTGAGAGGATCTTGATCCCATGGTTTGAGGGAATATTGATCCCATGGTTTGAGGGAATGCTGATCCCATGGTTTGAGGGAATGCTGATCCCACATCCCCCCGTGGTTTTTAGGGACATTCCAGGCTCATCCCGGAGCCTGGAGCTGCTTTGGGTGGCAGCTGCAGCCGCTGAGCCCCCCAAGGCGGAGGATTTGGGGTTTTGCCCTGCCCTCAGCAGGTTGTTCCTGTGGGGTTCCCGCACCCCTGGCTGGGTTTGCTCTGCTCAGGGGTTTCCCTGGCTCCATCCCCAGCCTGCCCCACCAGCCCGGTGCACCCAGATCCCCCCAGAAATGGTGCAAAGCTCTTCTTTTGCCCCTTTTGAGGTCAAGAACTGTTAATTTGATGCATCTGGGCCCTTGTCTCACGGCTCCTGCGCTCGAGGCTGGGCTGAAATGGAGCCTTGATTTGGTTGTAGCCCTGGAAATGATTTCCCTGGAAATGATTAAACCCCGTCACTAAATTTAACGCCGGCGCTGAGCTGAAGTGCTGAACCATTAAATCGGGAACAAAGGCACGGAGCGTGATGGACATAATCCAATTAAAGCCACTCCACCAGCAGACACTCCCTGCCAGCCTTCCTCTCAAATTTGGAGCCTCCTCCCGTGTCCCCATCTCCGGCCGAGGGACCCCGGGGGCGCTGCCGGAGTCCCCCCGGGCTGGATGGGCAGGATTGTTATCCCCAGCCTCCCATTTTCCCGGGATATCAGGAGCCTGCCAGCGCCCAGCTGAGGCTGGAATTGGGTCGGAGGGATCCGGGCTGTGCCTGGGCTCAGCCGCTCCCAGATCCTGGAATGCTGCTCCGAATCCTCGCCCGGCGTGTGCCGCTCGTCCCCCGGTCCAGGGGGATTTGGGGTTCCCCAGGAGCTGCTCCGAATCCTCGGCCGGCGGCTCAGCCCCTCTCCAGGCTTGGGATGAGGGACGGGCCCTTCCCAGCAGAGGACACCCGCAGCAGACAGCACCTGCGAGCTCCAGCTGCGCTTTGTCCCCCTCCACGGAGCCTCCAGCACCTTATTCCCGAGGGATGCTCCAGAGTGACGGGAATTCCCCGTCCCGGGATGGGCTCCTCGGCTCTGGCTCCTCTCCTGGCACCGGCATGACGCACCCTCGGCAGCCCCCGGGACACGGAGCCTTCGGGACATCCCACACGGATCCTGCTCCTCGCTTCCCCAAATCCCACAGCACCTGCGGATGTTCGGGACCACCAGGGACGTGTCCGGACCTCGGTTCCCAGAGCCCCAGGATGGATTTATCCATTGGAAGCCTAAAATCCAGGAAGAAATCCCGGTTTTCTGTTCTCGGCTGGAGCAGCGCTGATTCTCCTCCCCTGGGTGCTGCTGCCTCGCTGGTGCTGGGGCTGTGCTGTCCCCTGGGGCTGTCCCAGGCTCGGAATTCCCAACACGGACATGCTGGGAACGGGGTGGAAAGATGCTGGGATGAGTTACGGCGTGCAGATGTCGCTGAGGATAAAACATCAGCTCTTGGAGTATTCCAGAGATGGGCACCAAAGGGAGAGCTCCCGGGAGAGGAAATGTGGGAACGGCTGGAGCTGCTGGAAAAGCGCTGGGGGCCGTTCTGTGGGACCACGCCACGGCCAGCCCTGCCTCTCCCTCGCATGGGTGGGAATCCCGTGAAGTTGGGATCGGGAAGAGCCGAGGATCTGTTGGGTTTGTTTTGGTGCCGGAGGGTTGATCCCGGCCCTGAGGAGCTGCCCGTGTGCCTCTCAGCCCCAGCTCCGCTCCTGCTTCGGGGATGCTCCGGAATGTCCGTCCTGAGGGTCTCCCCACCCTGCTCCCGCTTCCTGAGGGCTCAGGGATTTATGGATTTCCTTCTCCGTGTGGCTGCTGCTCCAGCCGGGGTCTCGGAGCTGCTCTCGTGGATCTCCTGTGGATCTCCTGTGGGTCTCCTGTGGATCTCCTGTGGATCTCCTGTGGGTCTCCTGTGGGTCTCCTGTGGATCCCCTGTGGATCCCCTGTGGGTCTCCTGTGGATTCCCTGTGGATCTCCTGTGGATCTCCCGTGGATCTCCTGTGGATCTCCCGTGGATCTCCTGTGGATCTCCCATGCCTGGAATGCGGCCTCTGCCTTCAGCTCCCTGCTGGAATCTTGGTCTGGATGGGGATTTTCCTCTGCATCCCACGGGGATGAGGGAGCAGCTCGGGGAGGGCTGGGTGACCAGCCACCGTCCTGCTGTGTCCATGGATGTCACCTCTGCTGCCCAGCACGGCTCCTTCCACCGGGAGCTGTTCCCCAAAACTTGGACTTGTTGTGGGGAATCTTGTCGTGGAATCCTGCAATGGTTTGGGTTGAAGGGACCTTAAATCCCTCCAGTGCCACCCCTGCCATGGCAGGGACAGCTCCCCCTGTCCCAGGTGCTCCCAGCCCTGTCCAGCCTGGCCTGGGACACTCCAGGGATCCAGGGGCACCTGGAAATTTCCCTGCTGGATCCCTTGGGAGCAGGGATGAGCCCTCCATCCCTGGGGCTGCTTTTGGGGTGTCCTTTGGGCTGGCCTTTGGGCTGGCCTTGTGCCAGCAGGTCCTGCTGCCCATCCCTGCCCCTCCGAGGGTAAATCCTGATCCCGGCTGCTTGTGGGGGCCCAGAGTGGCCTGGCCCACCCAGGTGTGTCCCCTCGCTCCAGGTGTGTCCCCTCGCTCCAGGTGTCCCCTCACTCCAGGTGTGTCCCCTCATTCCAAGTGTGTCCCCTTACTCTAGGTGTGTCCCCTCACTCCAGGTGTGTCCCCTCACTCCAGGTGTGTCCCCTCACTCCAGGTGTGTCCCCTCACTCCAGGTGTCCCCTCACTCCAGGTGTTCCCAGCCGTGATTCCCGTCGTGCTTTCCTTCCCCGGGAGCTGCTGGAGGGGCTGGGGGTGCAGGCAGGAGGGTCCCGGGCAGGACCAGCAGCTCCAGGACCCTCCTGGCTGGACCGGGGGGCTCTGGGGAGCGGCTCCTAGGATTTCTCCTTGGATTTCAGCTGGTTTTGCGTTTCAAGTAGGGAACGGGTCTGCTTTCCCCTTCCTCTCCCCACAGCTGCTTTTCCCGGCTAAGCTGTGTTGGGTGGTAGATCTCCATGGCTGGATGAGTGCTGGGATGGTGGGATTCACTCCCAAAAAACCCCTGGGAGCAGCTGGGGGCCCTCTGCCATCCTGGCTGGGCTGCAGCTCCGGGAATGTGGGGGTGAGGTGGTAACGGAGGATCCCTGCAGGATTTATCCAGTGCCCTTCTGCTGTCAGAAGGGGTTGGGAGCAGCAGGATCCTGGGATCCAGCACATTCTGTGGAATTCTCTCTTTGCCATGAAGCACCTGGAAGCTGCTCCTGAGCAGATGAGCAGAGCTTCCCTGTCCTGGGCTGCCCGGGAGGCTCCTGGGGGCTGGAATTTCCTCTCTCCCACCACTTTGGCCGCTCCCCTCCAGCCATGGAGCTTCTCCACCTCTTGGGTGGGATTCCCAGGGGGTTTTTATTTCCCTTTTACCGCTGGAAAAGCCAAACCGACCGTGTCCATCCCGGGGAGCGAGCCCAGATCCCGGCCCCTGTCCTGGGGCACCTCGGAGCTAACGGAGCTTCTCCTTCCAGGCGTCCTGCGGGAGCGTCCATCCCCGGGACCGTCCCTTCCTTCCCGGGAGCGCCCACGGCCGTTCCCCGGGGCTCACTGGTGCTTTCATTGCAGCAGCAGCAGCTCCAGGCCCAGCACCTCTCCCACGCCGCCCACGGGCCCCCGGTCCAGCTGCCGCCGCACCCCTCGGGGCTCCAGCCGCCCGGCAT